TGATGCGCACCGATTCTGCGTGAGTATGGGTCTAAATACGCCGTCATAAGCTTCTTACCAGCTCCATCTCATCTCATATACATGCATGCACAAGCATCTTTCTTTTGGCCCTTTCTTTTCCCCCTTGTCACTGCCTTTGTACGCTGCTGTCAATGTCGAAGCAGCACGTTTTTATTGTAGTTGCTGAAACTAATCCATTAATACCTTGATTTCAAACATTTTATGAACTAATCAGTTTTGAAGGGACAACATCCAGATTTTTTAAATGTTAAAAATGATTCCAAGAATACTGGAAAAGGATGAAAAAGTGTGTATAAACCCACTTACAGACTACAACATCACTCGGCACAAAAGAGCTTCACAAAGTGCTCTCAAGGTAACACATGATGAATAGCAGATTGGATTTGGAATTTGTATATATCAACAATTGTATGCTGATGCAGCAAAATCCACTTCATGTCCCTTCATCTCCTTCCTCATGACATCTGCATGTGACGTCTTTGATAAGGTCAGCATAAAAAGAGTTGGAATAATTTGCTTGTCAGTGCTTTGAGTTCACGTCTCCATTTTTGTTAATTATATTATTTGTTAGTAAAGGACTGTTAGTGGTTGGCAGGTCAAATCTCTTGCTATATTACAACATCACTTTTAACTCGTTTTATGGCAAGCCCATTTCACTTTGAATCAGTAGGGCTACCTAATAAAAAGCTGCCTAGTTTTCACTTGTGACAATGGAATTGAAGACATCTGCTAAACCAATTTGACATATTAGACTAGTCTTAAGGATTTACAGATATCATTAGTCAAATGAACAATTACACAAAAATCTCTAATTCAATTTCCACAATTTTATCGGACCATATTTATTTTGGAATATGTACGTCCGTTGTTGAAGATACCTACAAAGTTCTACAAACTCATTTTCTGTCTTCTAAAATTGAACTCTAAAAAGTTATTAACGGCATTTTCGGTACCTCAAATATATAATGTAACTAGTACGTATAAGGTAGGGTTCAGTAGTTACAATTACGTTTGAAATATCTGAATGTAATTTTAGATATCTTGTAATTACATTCTTACTAGTTACAAATCAAAGCTGTCATTTCAATAGTTTATTCTTGACAAGTCACAATTTAATTTAAGATATCTAGAATCCTAACTGTATGGACAATTGTAGAAATCTACTTTGAGCTTTTCCACAAGTAAGCTATTAAATGTTGATATTAAGAAGTAACAATTTGACTATCTCTTGTTGGAATTCCTTTAAGCCAAAATAACATTATGGATAGTTTGTCTTGTACTTCTAACTAGTCAAAAAGCACTTGTTGATGTGTTACCTCTGCTGATGAAATGTTAAAAGGGCTTGCAGTTTTCACAAAATCAGTGAAGTTGAGGACAGTTTATTTTCCTTATTTCTCTCCTTCCTTCCCTCTCCTTCCTTTCCTTCCTCTGTTGTCTGTCCCTCTCCTCTGATTGGCTGCTCTTAACGGTGGTCACTGAGCAGTGCGACCCCCTCCCCCCCTCCCACCGCCCACCCTTTGCCCCCTCTCACCGCGGCCGAAGAGGAACACAACCTGTACAGCGCTAGCGGTGTTCTCTCTTTCCTCCAGTCCACGACACGCCGGGCCTACCAGCAGGTCCTGGAGGTCCTGGACGAAAACCCCAGCAGGTGACCTCTCCATCATCCGGACATTTTCTGCTTTAAAAAAAAAACTCTGCTCAGAGAGGACAACACTGACTGCTTCAGTTGTTCCTCAAATTCCTGTTAAAATCTAGATTAATTTCGCCTGCTTTTAGGACAAGGAAGTGTTTTTTTCTTTAATTCAGTTTGGCCCCTTTGAAGACTCGAGCATAACATGATCATTTTCTAACTGAGACAAATCTGTAACAATATTAAAACAGCATGTATTAATCAAAAATATAAAATACCTTCACAATCTGAAACTGAATTGGATCTGACTTCAGGTAAAAGTGGTGGTGGGATTAATTAGCTTTGCCAACAAATGTATATTTCATTTTCGAAAAAGGTTGACAGCAAATTAAATTGTTTTAACTTTAAACGAGAGGCCTAGAAAGCGTAGTAACTGGAAGGACATGCGAGGTGTGTGCATGGATGCAACACTGACATGTGTGTGTTGCCCGATCTCTCTTATTCTCCTCTTCCCCCCACCCTGTCTTTTCCACCTCTGTAGCAAGCCATCACTGCGAGGGGGGGCGGCCTCGAGCTCCAACCCCCTGCAGGACTCCAGGTAACTCCACCTGGCTCTTCACCTTCAACCCTTTCCCCTCTTCCTTTTCCTATCCTCCATCGTCATTTCCTGTCGAGAAATAAGATGATAATAATCACCTAGTGAAATGAAGTCGCTATTGCTCATTTGCACTGTAGATCTGAAATGTGCTACTTTGCATGTACGCTCTGTTGTGGTTGTTATCAGTAATTACATTCTCAAACTGACGTCTTTTTTTACAGGCTTGCACTATCAACACTTGACTCTTCAATGGATGCGGGCCCTGATGACATGACTGTGGTCGATGCGACAACGCTGCGACGTCAGGTAAGTCTTTTTTAAATTTTTTGTCGTTTTCCCCTGAAATGAGTTCCGTCCTAGTTCCGTGTTTTGGTTTGGTTTTCAATTTGGTTCACAATGTTGAGCAAACTACGAACCAGTTTGTTTTTCCACGACTAGAGCGGTATCGGCACGAATGCTCCACTGGGGTTTAGCCTCCCGTTTCACCCAGTGCCCAACACTGCCTTTACAATAAACAAGTATTAAAGGTCAGCTATTATGCAAAATCCACTTGTTCATGTCTTTTCTACATCAACATGTGTTCCCTCTTCTTCATGTCTCTTCTACATCAACATGTGTCCCCTCTGTGTAAAGAGACTCTGAAAGTTTCAGGAACAAAGATTCTCTCACTTTTTGTCCTGATCCATTTATATAAAAACCTGTCTGAAAATGAGCTGATAAGATTTTGGCCACTTTATGATGTCATAACGATTTTTTGGCTTGTGTAACCATTAGCCAATCAGCAACCAAGGTAACCCCCCCCCCACCTTATCACCTGAATCTCCTCCTAGAGCATTTTTTAAACAGGGCTGAAACAGAGGGGATTATGGGATGCTACAAAGTAGGGCTGCACAATATTGGAAAAAACTGATATTGCGATATATTTTTTCCCCCTGCGATATGAAAAAATACAGGAATTGAAGAAAAGACAGTTTTTTTTGTCCGCAAACCATCCTTTCTTGAACTTGAATGCTATACAATTGGTATTTTTCTAACTATATTTAACCGGATGAAGGATTTTAGTCACGGACGTCTGGATCTTAAGTTATCAGAGCAACAAGCTGAGCTAGCTCGGTTAGCAGCGCCGAACTGCCCTGGAGAAACACATGAAACTACTTTATTCAGTGTTTTTACCTTTTAATCACCGGGTCCGTTTGCTTTGGAGATTTGATTGTGATTGGTGGTTTGCTGTCCCTCAAGTACCCCTGACATGAGAGCCGCGCGAGTTTTCCTTTTGTAGCAAGCAGCAAAATAATTGTAACATGACGTGTTTGAGTTCATTTGCCTACTTAATATCACACGTCCTAAAAAAGATATATATATTAAAAAACATTTTTTTTAAAGAATCGCACGTCCTGCGATGTGAATATCGCGATTATCGTCACGACACGATATATCGTGCAGCCCTACTACAAAGCATGATCTGTTTAGTATTTCGAGGCCAAACACTTCAGAAACATGTTTTGTATATATCTGAGACCTATAATAAAGTAATGAAAAATTGTATAATAGGGGACCTTTAAATTAAAAAAACAATGTGTAGCTCCAACAAACGCGGTATACGTATGGCATAATAATTATTCGCCATCGATTATTTGAATGATTACTTGCTATCATCGCAAGTTTTGTAACGGAATATTTTTCACTATGATCTTACTTCTGATAGTCTGATTTGACAAAGTGTTGAGCCTATTTATTGAATACAGCTGCTAACCGCTATAAAAATAAATAGTATTTCTACGTTTGGTGCGAGAGCTAATCCTGAGCCACTGTGACTGAGAATTGTTTTATGTATAATTTGTCTACAGCTCATCAAGTTGAACCGGAGACTGCAGCATCTGGAGGAGGAGAACAAGGAGCGTGCGAAGCGAGAGATGATCCTGTACTCCGTCACCGTGGCTTTCTGGCTGGTCAACACCTGGGTGTGGTTGAGACGTTAGAGCTGCGTTTCCTCCGTCACCGTGACAGAAGAACGTACCATCCCTTACTCTGTGTCAAATATTAGCTATACTCGCTGCACTCAGTCCCTGTGTGAGGACATCCCACATGTTCACGGCTTGCTCCACACAGGGCGTACTCTTTTTTTTGATTTGGTTTATTTAATACATGTACAGTTTTATTTTTTTACGCTTATGTCATCCTGTCCCATGTTGTCCTATGTTTTGTTTTTATTACAAATCTTCTCGCTCAACGCTAAAGCATGACTTGTTGTAAATATTTATTCGTGTCACCAAGAGAAATAAGTCATTCAGAGATAGAGTAAAGCATAGTTTACCAAAATATGTACAATAGCGCTTCAGTGTGGGGGTGTAAACATGTTGGATATTTGTTGGGGACAGAGTAATATGTGACCTGAACTGGGAAATGTAAAACAATTTAGTAAAACCATACGTATAACATGTTGTCCTGTATTATTATTATTGATGCATTAAGTTATATACACACATCTTTCCACACACTTTTGCTGTTACGTAAGTATAGACCATATTGCTCTCAAATTTGACTGACGTAGTATTTAACCCTGATAGCTTGAATGCTAATTTCCCTAAGAATGATCCTCCTGTAGGTGGTGTTTTTCTGTCGTTGAATACTCTAAAAAACGCCTAAAAGTAAGAATAGCTATCTTACAATTTATTGAAAAAATATGATTTACTTCAAGGTCACCCTAATATAAAAGTGTACGAGAAAAAAAAATCAAATATTACAAAGAAAACGTTTAATAATGTAAACTTTATTCTGTGTTCACAGCGATACAATTAACAACCGTAGGAACAAACTGTCTTTGAAATGTTTAAACAAAAATAAGCGAGACAATGAATCACATTAAATACAACAACAGCTAAATATTGATTCTTAAAGTTAAAACTGTGCCCTGATTGGGCTCTTTTTGGTCTCACTCGGCTTATTAGCATACGTAGCATCATCATTAGCATCATTCCAGCTCCTCAATCAGGCAGCGAGGTGGAGAGGGGATTTGCTTTGGTTTGATCTTCAGCACTGGCTCAGAATGTATTGCCCCATCTCCTGGATACACTAAAGCATAGGAACTGTTGGAGACCTCAGAGGATCCGCTCTTTAAGAACGATGCCATTTCATCCTGACCGAAGCTGGGGCCGTTATCGCTGTCGCTCTCCGTGGATTCCTCCTCCTCACTGCTTCCTGATACGACTTCTATCTTAGGTCTGTAAGCTTGCTGAGATGAGAACATCGCAGTGTAGTCCTCTGTGTCCACGTCCTCCAGGTCAGGCAGGTCGTCGATGCGCAGTGAGCGCTGCAGACGAAGGTGAATGGTCTCCAGCTGCTCGTCATCCTCCAGCTCTGTAACCAGCGGTCCTGGACCATGTGGTGGTAGAGCATCTTCAACCGGAGACAGCTGCTTCTCTCCAAACTGCTCAATCATGTTTTCCTGCTCTGGATTCTCTTTCTCTTCCGTCACAGATTTATCCAGGTCATCTTCCTCTAACTTCTCCCTCTGTAGACCTTCAACTTCTTCCAGATGTTCACAGTTTGGCTGATGTACATCGGACCCCTGTGTGGATTCACTCTGCAAGAACTCTTCGTGAACATCCAGGCAGTCCTGCACAAATGACTCGATCAGCCCTTCTTTTGATGGAGTCACAACCTGGGTTTCATTATCCTCACTAGTCTCTGGAGAGGTGGAACCCTCAGTCAACCCTGAAAAAAAATATGACAACGTTAAAAGATGCTGTAGCGACTAGAGGAACAAACAAAGACGCTGAGAGGCTGAGGTCGGGCCTGGTTGTCTTTGCTATATCAAAAACTTTATTAAATGTACAACAGAAGTCCCCAGTCTCTGATATTCATGGCTTCCAGAGGTGGCAGAAGTACACACATCCTTCACTAAAGTACAAGTACAGATACTTGTGTTTAAAAATACTCCGGTAAAAGTACTGAATAAACTTCTTTACTCAAGTAAAAGTATAGAAGTTTGGGCTTTGAAACGTACTTAAAGGTCCCATGTCATGGCCATTTCTACTGATCATAATTCCATTGTTGAGGTCTACTATAGATTTATATTGTTCAATTTTCCAAACTCACATTGGTTTCTCATACAGCATCTCTGTATAGTATGTGTATTCACTCTCTGTCCTAAACGGCTTGTTGGAGCTCCTGCCCCCCCCCCTCCCTGTGAGCCCAGTGGCCGTCTGCGAGACAGCGAGACATTACATGTCATTTGTTAGACGCTTTTATCCAAAGCGACTTACATACATTCAGTACTGTGGACAATCCCCACAAGAGCAATTTGGGGTGAGGTGTCTTGCCCAGGGACACAACGACATGCTGACTGCAGTGGGACTCGAACTTGCTACCCCACCTTTAAGTGCTGATACCAGAAAGTTATACTTAAGTACATCAACGTACCCCCCCCCTTCCTCTGATGTTCTCCTACAGATGCATATCCATGTATGTGAGCAACATGTTTGTTTACCTTTCTCCTTCAGCTCTCGCAGGCGTTTTCTCTCCAGAGCCCTGTCTCTGATCTCTGTCATGGCATCGAAGCTGTCCTGCATCTTCCTCCTCTCCCGTGTCTCCCACTGCTCCCTCTCTTTACTCTCCCCTTCCACCCCCCCCACAGCCCAGGCCTCTGCACAGGCCCTGTCTTTGGGGAACACGGGGCGCTCATCCAGGAAGGTGAGCTGCTTCAGACGCACGATCATGGTCTTCCTGTAGTTTGGGATTCTTCTCACCACCTCGTTTCCTATCAGATCCAGCACTCTGAGTTCTGGCATGGCCTCGAGCACCAGCAGGATCTCAGGGTCCTGGAGCAGATTGTGGGACAAGTCCAGCACACTGATTGCACAACACTGTCTCAGATGCTCGATGTCCTCCGCGGTCTCCAGCTTATTATGGGCTATCTGCAGAGTGCTCAGCTCAGGGAGGCAGGAGAGGTTCTCTATGGTGCTTATGAAGTTGTTGGAGACATTCAGGGTGCAGAGCTTCACCAGAGGGTCAAGGTTCTCCAGCTTTTCTAGGATGTTCTGGTGGAGGAACAAGCAGCGCAGGTCTGCCTGGGCGTCCAGGTTCTGGATGCGGTGAAGCCCATTGCTCTCCAGCCAGAGACACTTCAGACCTGTGTACTCCTCCAGGTTCTCGATGGTGGAGAAGCCTTTGTAGTGCAGGTACAGGGTGTCATTCAGGTGAGGTGTGCAGTAGAGTTTGAGCTGCTTACAGTGGTCTCTCAGGAACTTCTTGGTCATGCGTGGCCATTGCTGTTTCTTCATTTCCTCCTGAGGTTCCTGGTTTTCTTTGTTTTCCTTGAGTCCTTCATCTTTTATCTTGTCATCAAACGTGTCTTTTATAACAGAGGTTATTTTGGCATCTCCCATATTTACCTGGACTTCTTCATATGTTATCTTGTCCTTCACTTCATGTCCCATCTTTTCCTGGACTTCTTCATATGTTATCTTGTCCTCCACTTCATGTCCCATCTTTACCTGGACTTCTTCATATGTTATCTTGTCCTCCACTTCATGTCCCATCTTTACCTGGACTTCTTCATATTTTATCTTGTCCTCCACTTCATCTCCCATCTTTTCCTGGACTTCTTCATATTTTATCTTGTCCTCCACTTCATCTCCCATTTTTTCCTTGATTTCTTCATATGTTATCTTGTCATCAAACGTGTCTTTTATAACAGACGTTATTTTGGCATCTTCCATATTTTCCTTGACTTCTTCATCTTTCATCTTGTGATCCATTTCATCTCCCATCTTTTTTCCTGGACTTCAGGAGTGGACTCCTCCAAAAAGTTATATCAAATCAACAAGCAGAATAAATACAAATGATAAATACTTGTTTAGAATTGATAATCTAGCAGTTTACAAGATATTTTGTCCGGCAAAGTTCACTCGGCACTCTCCGCTCCGTAAGCTAACGTTAGTTAACGTTTATGTTTGTTTCCATGGTAACGCTCAACCGTCAGGAACGGGCCGTTTCTTGTTCCGAGTCGGACAGTTTAAGCTGTTGCACCCTATCACTATCACTGCTACAAAAGGAGCACCGAGGAAGATAATTTGTTAACAAGGCTTCGATAGGACAAACTAGACTGAACAAAACATTGCATTTAGCAAAAGAAACATCCATCAGGACTATTTGAACACTGCCAGGTCGAGGAAACAGTAGAACATGTCATACAGACAAGAAAGAGAAACTTTAAATAAATAAATCAGGAAGCTTGAAGTAGAATAACAAAATCACAAAAATATTAGACATTGGGTCAGGGAGACTAATATTATTAAAGACGAACATATTAATACAAATAATTAAACATTTTATTGTATTTGTTATAATAATTCTGGTCCACACTCCAGCACAGTAGGTGGCGGTAATGCACGTTTTAACCCTGGTTGCAACCCGCATTACAACCGTGAAAATAATAACTCGGACAGTTTAAGCTGTTGCACCCATGCATCACTGGTCAACATGGCGTCCGGATTGTTACTAAATCGTGGTGTGCTAACATTAGGGATTCACTGTCAGCGTGTGTGCAGAAACGTGTCGGTTTCACAGGTTAGAGAGAAGAAGCGATGGATGAAATCATACACTCACCTCATGGCGAGGAAGCTGAAGCTGGAAGGACCTCCAGCTCCGAAGCCACGGTGAGGCTAACATTAGCTAACGTTAGCTAACAGGGTTTCACCAGAGAGCATCTCAAGGCCATCAGTGCGTCTGACACATTGGTCACTGTGTGCAGAGGTGGAGGAAGTACTAACGTTGTGTACTTACAAGTAGAAGTACCAGAGTGTAGGAATATTCTGTTACAAGTAAAAGTCCTGCATTCAAAATGTTACTCAACGAAAATTACTGAAGTATTAGCATCATATCAGAAGTACTCATTATGCATATTAGCCTATTTTCTGAAAAACATTATTATTATTATAGTTATTGTGTTCTCAAAGCTGGTAAAGGTGCAGCTAGTTTGAATGACTTTGTATACGGCAGGGTAGCTTGTGAATTTACTCCAGGTGGAACTAAAGTCTGATTTGAGACTTGATTAATTATATTTCACATCATTAATCTAAATCTGTAAAGTAACTAAAGGTATTCAATAATTGTAGTTGAGTAAAAGTACAGTATTTACTTCGATACTTTACACCACTGATATTGGTCACTGTGTTTATATAATGTAGCCGATAGAGTTGGCTTGATAAATAAAATTATATAATTATATTTTACATTTTGTCAGTACAGACTTGTTAATCAGAGGGTGAGTTGGTACAATGTCTACTGATTTGAATGTGGACCCAGGGGTTACTGTGCACAGTTATCTCTCCAGCCCCAATTTGTGCTTTTTATTTTATTTTGAGAATTTACCAAAAAGTGCTGTTCACGGTGCTTTACTTTACTTCCCCCCCCCCCCCCCCCCCCCCCCCCCCCCTACTTTCTACCTCACTTTTAAGTTGTGTTTTATTTTCTATTTTTAGGATGTTTGTTTGTTTTATACTCTCTTTCATTTACACATGTGCAATGCCTTGTTTACATGCTGCTGTGATTAAATGTAATCTAAACACTTCCTGTTAGTGCTAAAAGTATTAACTTCAGTGGACAGTAAGTTAGGGACACATCACCAACACTACAAGTCATAAGTAATAACCTCTTTTTTGTAATTATGTAAGACCTAGTCTGGGACGTTTTTGTAGAGGAAGTCAGGATTTTGATTTAACTCCATGTGTGACTCTCTTTCAGCTCTCTACAGCCTCACTGGGACTTCCATGCTGAGGTCCAGTCGTTCAGCTCCCGGCTCCAGGAGAACTTCTCCCTGGAGGCCCTGAAGAGAGCCTTCATCAATCCCTGTTACCTGCAGGCGGAGCAGGAGAGGAGGCGGGCGTTGGGCCTGGACTCGGAGACCGCCGCCCTCGCTCTGAAAGACAACATTCAGCTGAGTGAAAAGGGAGAGGGTTTCACTAAAAGCTTCCTGTCCGACTGGTGCATGGCCAACTTCCCCAGGCTGCGGAGAGAAGGGGTGGAGAGCGTCGTAGCGCACCTCACCAGCTCACCAGTTGTGACCTATGTAGCAAGAAACCTGGGCATTGAAGACCTGACCATGAGCGCAGAGTGTCCTGTTCCTGATGATGTGCTTTACTCCACATTCATGGCAGTGATCGGAGCTCTGGAGGAGAGCAGTGGAGCCGAGCAGACCGGATTATTCCTCAGGGTAAGAGGCTTGCTGCAGAGTGGAATGGGTATTCACCTGAAGTCTCTTGAGTTGTCTTTCCAGCAATATGATGCTTGTCTTCTCCCCTCTCCGTAGGATTTTGTGTCCTCTCAGCTGATAGGGAAGGACCTGTTTGACATGTGGACAGTTGTGGACCCCATGGGACTGCTGGTGGAGGAACTCACTCAGAGGAACCTTCCCCTGCCAGAGCCTCGGCTTGTCAGGGCGGCAGGAGCCAGTACCGTCCTGCCGCTGTTCTTTGTCGGCTTGTACAGGTATGTGTGCTGTTGTGCATGCTGTAATATGAGGAAAATAAGATATTGAGATTTTTGTGACAGTCTCTTCCATATAAATATTGAAGGGTGGACCATTGATGCTTTCACATGATTGTTGATAATTAATTAGATTTTTTCGCTAAGTGGGTAAAGACAAATAACAGAGCAGCTAGAACAGTTTAGAAAATGACAGCACTTCACTGTACTGCAGCCTATAAAACCAGACAAACACAATTTTGGACAAAAATAGTGTAATTTCCCATTAATTGCCAAGTCCTAGATGTTATCCATGTGACCGTGATTTAAGATTTACTGACATAAAAAAAAATCGAAGCTGACATGAAACCACGTTGCATGTTAAACTTGTAAGGGTTTGACTGAGATGCCAATCATTTGTAAAAGACCTGATGGTTAAAATTGTTTTGTGTGTAATCTGACAAGTGTTCTAATTTCTTTGGTATTTGTTTACGATTTTAGCGACAAGAAGTTCCTGGCTCAGGGTCCGGGGGAGACTCTCGTAGCAGCTGAGGAAGAGGCGGCTCGCGTAGCCCTCCGGAAACTCTACGGCTACACGGAGAACCACAGACCCTTCAACTTCTCTCCTCTACAGCCACATCAGCAGCCATTAATCCAAGCAGTCGGCAGCAATTAATGAATTAAAAACTATTTTGCTGCAGCAGAAAATTGGACATTAAAGTGGCACGAATGGACAAGAGGGATCATTTGAGATAAAGTACATCTTGTTTGTGGATAATGCTATTATACGGATTGTAGAGAGAAGGTCAAGGAACATAAGGTCACCATTGACCTTACTTACCAATGTCAATGTCAGTCCCCAAGACAAAGGAGAACCAATTAAACATATTGTACAAAAAAAGACTATGGTGAAGGGGCCAGGTTTCCACTGTATCAGACATCATCAATCTAAGTGTTTCTGAATTAATGTAATATATTCAAGTGTGTAAAGTCCACAATTGCCATAAATTACATTGGCTAATAAACTTCAAGCTGTTCAGCAGAACATGCCGCAAAACAGCCCTCGTGTTTGTTTTTTCTTGTAAATACTCATTACTAATTGCCATTTGGTTTACTCTGTATGCTGTTATAACATTTTGTTCATCTGTAATAAAAAGTTATAAATATGATTTATTGTAGATTGTCTCTATTTTCTTCCATGTAGAATATATTCCTTTAGGCACATTTTTAAATATCTAGTGCCAAGTATTATTCCTGGAAATGGTTCATATTCTCTGCAGTAACCAGACCAACCCTCATTTTTTTTTATACACGAGAAGTATTTACTGTATCATATAACACTTTTTCTTTATTATGCCATTGATTGTACATGCATGGTTTCATTTAAGTTACTTATATGTTACGTGTTATGTTTACGGTATGTTTGAACTAACTTCTAACTAAAATGCAGCATAACATACACAAAAACTAAGAATTAGTGTTGCAGTGACTATATGTATTCACAGGGTGGCGCTGATGTGCTAAAGAAAGACTTGTAGCTGTCTATGCACTGTCATGATTGCAACCAAAGAGACATTTAAGAAACAAGATAGTTAACGTCCTTTTCTAACCCGTTTTACATTGGAAAGTCCACGGCCAAGTCACCGCGTGTGCTCTTTAAATAGACTACTTGTTTTACCTCATAACCTTATACTATGTACAGAAACGAATATATAAACACAAAATCGTAATAGACGCCAGTCAAAAGTGGTTACCACGCAACACATACACGATATTAGAGCAACATTATTGATGTAGACCACTAAGAAGTAATAACGCTCCGTTTAAATATATAATAGGCTTAATGAACAGAGACCTAAGGGAAATGTGTTGGAATATTACAAAATATTGGAAAGTAACGTCATCAATATCTGGCCCTACCCAAAAAACTGAAGCGGTGTACTCTGTATAACGGGATCAAAACGAAACCGGAAGTCGACGGCAGGAATCATCTTGTTCCGTTAGTGTCCCCAATCCAACGCCTCAAACTCTCCTTATTCGAGGAGGAGACGCAAGGCCCCCCCAACCCATTCCCTCTCTGTCTTTATCACGGGCCGGCAACCGTTTTAAAAGCACCAGCCCTTTGTTTTAGATCTAACTGACCCTCCTTGTCTCCCCTCCCCGGGTTTTATTGAGCCCCTGCTGCTGTAATATCCCCTAACCATGGCGGCGAGTGCGAAGCGAAAACAGGAGGAGAAACACCTGAAGATGCTGAGAGAAATGACGAGTTTGCCTCCCAACAGAAAGTGCTTTGACTGCGACCAGCGCGGCCCAACCTATGCCAACATGACTGTGGGATCCTTCGTGTGCACCTCCTGCTCCGGCATCCTGTAAGTTACAAGTGACCTTAGCTTTAGACATGGCGCAGCACACGATATTGGTAGCTTCAGCTCCATAAGGAAGCCTGTTAGCCGCAAAGCTAACGGTAGAGAGGTATCCAGCAGTGTGAGTGTGTCTGTCTTGACATTGTCTGATGTGTTGGGCGGGGTGCATGGAGGTGTCAGTGTTAGCACGCTAATGTAGCAACCGTGACTAGATGCTAGCAGTGGTGGAAAGTAACTAAGTATATTTACTCAAGTACAATTTGGAGGGACCTCCACTTTTCAGTATTTTATTTGTTGGCTACTTTTGTAGTTCTACTCCACTACACTTATTTCATACCTTTTTTTATTTATGTATTTGATCTTTCCTTGTGTCTTATTTATTTTTGAATTGTATTTTATTTACCTCTAATCCATCTGCAATGTCTTACCTATGCTGCTGTGACGAAGACATTTCCCAAATTGGGATCAATAAAGTATATCTTCTCTTACTTTGCAGATGTTGGATTAATGATGTGAAATATAATCAACACTTAAATCAGACTTAAGTTACCCTGCAGTATACAAAGTCATTCAAACTAGCTGCACCTTTACCAGCTTTGATAACACTTTAATACAACAATAATTATGATCAAAACATTTGATAGATATTATTCTGAAATGGGCCAATATGAATAATGACTACTTCTACTTTTGGTAAGTTCATTTTGATTGCATGACTTTTACTTGTACAGAGTATTCCTACACTCTGGTACTTCTACTTCTACTCAAGTACAAGACCTGAGTACTTCTTCCACCTCTGGATGCTAGCTAACTTTAGCTTCCAATGTCAGCTAGTGAATTTATCTGACACTTTGCAAAGCTAGGTCTAAAGATAAGCCAGTCACCAGCTGCTGCTAGTGCTACTACAGGGTCTTCAAAATTAAGGCTATTAAAAAGTATTAAACGGCATTTTCCAAGGTATTACATTTTGTAGCTTGTTTTCAATAAGTATATAAATTGTCCAAAGAGGTTGTATTCTAAAAGTTTGCCTGAATGTAATCATTGCGTAGGTGTGTAGTGTGATTCTGTGTAGTTTATTTATGGCATCCCATTGGATTTGACGTCATCTGAACAGGACATCGCACGCTCACTGCTTGATAGCGAGCGAAGGTCCGTTTACGCCGGTTGTTAAACAACATCGTTATGGGGAAATGAAAGTTTGCGTCCAAATGGTTGGAAGATAAGGAGGAAGGACAATCAATACTGTATATAGTAAATGTGAGGTAAAGTGTGTCGCCAATGTAACCGGTTAAAACTTAAAATGTATGGAAAGGGTCTTAAAAAAGGTCTTAAAAGGTATTACATTTGACTTCAGGATTCCTGCATATACCCTGTACCAGTTGTTGCCTGGCAACGTTTAAAGGCCCGCCTTGTATCCGAGCTAATTGATTTAGTTCTGAGAGCCCAAATCCCCAACACACATGCATGACGTCACACGTTTAAATAGTCACACGTTTAAATAGTCTGTTGTTAAACTGGGTTTTATTTGTGTTTTTAAGACTTAAAATGAAGTGTTTCGTTATCATCAGTGCTGGAAGAATGACTGAGATCCTTTACTTAAGTAAAAGTAGAAATACTTTAGTCGAAAAATACTTCATTACAAGTGAAAGTCCTGCATTCAAAATGTTACTTTAGTAGAAGTATAGAAGTATTGCCTGCTAAATCTACTTAAAGTATCACAAGTAAAAGTACCCATTATGCACCATGGCTCTTTTTAAAGTATTATAATATTATTGAATATTAAATTATTCCTTCTTTTGATTGCTTACAAATACATATAAGAACATTTGAATGTTGTAGTTTGTGCATATTAAGACAATTTTAGATCTAAAAATATATATTCGTACTCAGGTACTGCATTATATCATATAGTGATGTCATGTGTTTTTTATGTAGCAGGTCACTTTTGAGTGTTAAAGAAATGTAGTGGAGTAAAATGTACAATAGTAGAAGTGTAAAGTAGCATTACATGGAAATACTCAAGTAAAGTACAAGTATGACAAAATGGTACTTGAGTAAATGTACTTAGTTACTTCCCACCACTGGTCATTATACTCATGAGTAGATAACATCAGTTTGATTTCAATAAAGTGTTAACGTTGCTTAATGTGAAATGATGGCAGAGACTTGGGTGTGGGAAAGCAACGTGACTTGGAGATGCTGCAGATAATGCAATAACCGGTATCCATTTCATCATCAGTTGCATTTGGTCCTGTAATCTCCTTCTGTACCGCATCTAGATTAAATCTGACAGACACAAACCCAAACAATACTTTCACTTTTTCTAAAAAAATCTGTCTGACCCCAAAACCTTTTGTGTGCCAATGCACTCGTGTCAGCAGCGATCTACAGCACTGATAGTGTCTGTGTAGCCTTGCTGCTGGATGTTTTGACTTTAGATAATGTTTGTCTGATTTAAAGCGTTGCTGTGCAGTTGTGTAACCGAGCATCTGTAGCTCTGGATTTGGGATTAGTGGAGAATCCCAATCCATGTCTTCTTATTCCTCTAAAGATATCCCACTGTGCTGTCTTCTTTTTGGATTTTGAAAATGTTTTTTGTGTGATTGGGAACACATTTAGAAAGTAATCCAAAAATGGTTAAGACAACTTGCTTGCATTACTTTCTGAAGGATTTAGATGTATTGCACAACAACTGTAAAATTGGCATACATTAAGAAGGTAATGTTTCCCTTATATTATGTTAATTGCACAATATTGTGCTCATCCCAACATGATCACTCTTCCCCCGAAGACTTTTGAGGATTATACAGTTTCTCTTGTAAGTGCATGGACATTTGGTTCTCTTGAAAAGAAATGATGCCCTGAGACCCCATTTACACGGGAACGCAAACGAAACTAACCGAATTCGATATCAAAAAAGTCTTCCGTTCACACGGATATGGCTCAATAAACGTGTCCTTCCACACGAGACCGCTCGACCCGCTGGATACGCTGTAGTACATATGCCGGGCCTGTAAGTGGCGCTGTACTTCCGCCACAAAATACACCAAAAGCAGCGAAGAAGACCCCAGAGCATGGTTGCCATGGTTGCCTGGTTGCCCTTCTGTTTATTCTACGCGGTGGATTTAGCAAACATGTAGTTCATGTAGTTCTCCATATCCACTTGTTGCTGATGGTTGTGGTAGAGGAGCTGTAGATGTTGCACTAACATCTGTAGCATGTTCAGTAGCATGCTACAGCATGGTCAGTAGCTACTGAGGTGGGGAGAGGCGGGGCTATGGCTTCATCGTTATCAGGAAAATGATCGTATAGGACGTACACATGGAGCCGTTTGGCCCCCCAGAGCGTTCCGTCCGCAGATTTATCCACCTTGGGACCAGTTATCGTTTGCGGGGTCCGTTTCCGCGGTTCCGTTACGGCCTCGTGTGAACGACCAGTATATACGAAAGAGAAAAGTAGCGGATACAACCCGTTTCGTTCTCGTGTAAACAGCGCCTCAGACATGAAGTGCTCAAATCCATACCGCTCAGTTTTACACCTGTATACCTATCTTGCAAAAAAAACATGACCCAGGTCTAGTTTACAAAATCATTAATGTATTAAAGTCCCCTCTTTGCCACCAAATCCCCTCTTTTCTCACTGAAATGTTACCATGGTTTACGTTATAAACTACAAATCATAAGCCTTCGCAATTGAGTACATTTCATCACAGTAAATTAGCAGCTAACTCAATAATGTGTTCATCCGTCCATCCTGTTCTGCATTTAGATTGCTCTCTAAATGCTTTATGGAAATCATCCTTCCATTTCTGAGTAATGGTTATTCTAATAATGTTGCCGGGGGAAAAGGGAAAGTATACGTGGCTCGGTAATTCCCCACTGATGACCTTTGTAGTTTTATTAGTCGGCACAGAACGGATTAATTCATGGACAAAATACTACGCTATTTGTTTTTGAGACATAAGATAAAGCCCCTGTTTGACTTGTGCCGTGACCTTAATCTGTACAAACAGTTGTAGCTGTCTGCACTCCAACATGAAGGTTATTTTCTGTAGCGTGGAAAATAATCAGATTTGCTGTGTGCTTGCTGATACTGCTGAGGACTCCACTGTGAATTTTCCCATCTGCTCACCCTATGGTATTACAGTCTGTAAAGAGAGTTAATTGACTTCTTTACTAGCTTGAGATCACAATCCCCTGTTGTCTTTCACACCTTTTTATAAAGACAAAACGTGCTGTGGTGAGTTGTTGAAATGTTCTCAGCAACAGAGTGTTTGCTGTGTGACTGATGTTTGCAGGAAGCCTGGTGTGATTGTAGGCTCAGGAAATGGTTTGGCCCCACTGCGCTGCTACATCAGCAGCTTGTGCTGTTTGCATGTGCCGCAGGAAGTGGCAGAGAGTTCACCGTCTTCTGCCTTTTGCTTTACTTTGAACTTTAGAGTTGCAAAGGCAATGTGAGGGAAGTATTCAAGCTCAGACTTGATGTGTTGTTTTGTTTACTGTCTTGAATAGCAGCCCTTTTTTGAATAATAATAGTGTCAAAAGAAACAATCTCAAGGACAGATAATCACCTCATGAAGCCTAAACATGTTGTATTTATTGTAAAATGTTGCTCTTATGTCTTAAATGGGACATTTGACTGGTGAGGGATTTTTCATTTAAAGTGGACCTATCATGCTATATTTAAATGATATATTGTAGGGCCATACCTATATAAGGTATATTTATACGTTTCTGTTTTCGAAATACCAAACAGATCATGCATTTTAGCCATGCCTCATTTCGCTCTATGTGCTGTTTGCTGTCTACGGGTCTGATTCTGCTGACCACGCCCCCCTACAGGAGAGGGGAGACGTGCTCTGATTAGCTGCTGGGCTGTCAGAAGAGGGGGAGAAAAAGAGATCTCCGTCCTCCGTGTTTTATTATATAGAGTCGTTATTCATTTGTTTTAAAGCTCAATAAATAACAAAGAAGACCTTTGACCGGCACTTTTCTAATTTTGTCCGG